TCCATAATATGTGCTCTATATAAGTTAGCCATTATTATTCTTATTTCAAATTTTGTTATTGTTATATCTTTCAGCAAGTGCAAAACTCCGAAAAAAGTTAGTACAAGCCAATGTGATTAAATATTTCAAGCTTGATTTGTTCAACTGCAGAATTCATACTAACTGATCTTTTAGCAAGAATTTTAATTTAGCTTGCTATCATCGGACGTGAAAAAGCATCATTGTATCAGCTGCTTCAATATACAAAGATTGATGGTTAATGCATGCTAACACACAAGGTTCAGATTCTTGTGATTATTGTTTTATATACAGTAATAAACTCTAGTGATGCTGGATATAATAGGCATATAATATGGACAAAAATGCTGATTTATACAGGACTGTAAAGCGAAGGACTCTAGAATAAGCTTGAATTTGAGGTACAGTATGTGTAGCAGAAGACTTAAACCAGTTTTTAATTAAAGAAATTATGGTTTGTATATCTTAAACTCAGTGTCTTTTGTAAGTCTACAGGAGTTGATTATAGCCATTGTTATTTTACAAAAAGGATCTGGCACCACTTGAAGACCAGTTGGAACTTGGACCAATTGAAAACCATTTGGAACTTGGATCAATTGAAGACCAGTTGGAATTAGGACCAGTTGGAACTGACACCAGTCGAAGACCAGTTGAATTGTCCAAAAACACAACACCCAACTGGTTCCAGTTCCAACTGGAATTTAAAACCAGTTGGAATTGGGACCAGTTGGAACTGGGACCAGTTGAATTGTCCAGAAACACAACACCCAACTGGTTCCACTTCCAACTGGAATTTGGGACCAGTTGGAACCGGGACCAATTGAATTGTCCAAAAACACAACCCGCAACTGGTTCCAGTTCCAACTGGTCCAATTGGAATTTAAAACCAGTTACAGTTGGGACCAGTTGAATTGTCCAAAAACACATTCCGTAACTGGTTCCAGTTCCAATTGGTCTAACTGGAATTTTTACCTGGGGTAACTACTGTGGAGGGGTTTGCATCTCCTTGAGGTGTCGGGTGAAATTCAATTTCAATCGTACGACGTGAACTAACCGGTCTTATTTCCGGAGTTGCAATCAGGGCTTTACGATTGCGTCTTATAATACCTTTGTCTATCTTCACTATGTAAGATCTAGGTTCGATTCGCTTTGCAACAACTTTACCATAACACTGTTGGTCGCGTACATATATTTCTTGCCCATCTCTTAGTTCTGGTAATACTCGCGTTAAAGGTTCTTTGCTGGTTTTCTCTGTAGCTATTCTCTCGAGCTTTAAATTTCGCTTCATCTGGTCCTTGCCAGTAAGATGGAGTAAGCTGAGCATCGGTAGTAGGAAGTTGTGTGCGCAACCTTCTTCCCATTAACAACTCGCTCGGAGAAAATCCGTTATGTAGTGGCGAAGTTCGGTACGCTAGGAGAGCCAATTAGGGGTCATCATTCTTATACATTAACCCTTTAACCGTTCTCACTGCCCGTTCTACCTCTCCATTTGATCTTGGGTATCTTGGTGAACTCGCCACATGCGTACATCCATACTCTTACATAAATTTACTAAAGAGTTCTGAGCTAAATTGAGGGCCATTATCTGACATGATGATCTCTCGGATGCCGTGGTGTGCAAAGATCTTTTCACCACGCATGCGTAGGAAATCTCGTGTAGATGCGAAACTTCTACACATCTTGAAAAATAATCAACAACAATAAGGTACTCCTTGTTCTTAAAATGAAACAAATCCACACCAAGCTTCTCCCATGGCCTAGATGACAAAGCTGACGGTATCAACGGCTCGATGTTTTCAGGTCGATGTCCTACAGTTCTTGATCATTTCCTCAATAGCGGTAGAAAGACCCGGCCATCAAACGGATATTCGTACTCGGTTGCGGCATTTCGTTATCCCGAGATGTCCCTGGTGGATCTCATGACTCGTGGTATCACAATACGTTCATCATACAGCAATAAGTCATCAACGATTGCGAGATGTGCTCTGTGTTCCCAATAAGTGTCCATTAATGGTACATTTGGTCTATACGGTGGCCAACCGTTCATACAATACGCACGTATTTGTTGACATTCTGCATCCACTTTTTGAGCATTGATAATCTCCCGAATGCGAGGAGCGGTTGCTGGCAAAGCCTCTATAGCAGCTTCTGCAAATTCCTCCTCTGCATTGACAAACTTTATATATGCTTTCTCTGGTTTGTCGACTGGAGTACTATTATCGGGTTGTATCGTGTCAAGCGTAAACGGAAACGTAAAACACGGGGTGGCATTTTAGCTAGTTCCTTAGTCATTAACAATGAAACAAGGGGCTTGTAGTCTGTTTCAACCGTAAACTGCAATCCTGTGACGTAATCTGCAAATCTGTCACATCTCCACGTGACCGCCAATGCTTCCTTTTCGATCACGGCATACCGCTTCTCAGTTTCGCTTAATGGCCGTGACGCGTAGCATATCGGTTTCCTTTGACCATTCTCCTGTACCTGTAATAGCGTCGCGCCTATTCCATAATGAGAGGCATCCGTGGCTATGATAGTCTCGTGACATGGGTCGTAGTGTGCTAATATGTCAGGTGAAGTAAGTACGCTCTTAATGTGTTCAAATGCAGTACACTGACATACTTTCCATGTCCACACTGTATCCTTTCGTAGGAGTTGTCGAAGAGGTTCGCTAATCACCGCAAGTCTTGGAATAAATTTTCCTAAGTGATTGACCATGCCAAGGAATCTACCTAATTCTGATACGTCTTTCGGAGGTGGGTATTGCGATATCGCTGTCGTTTTCTCCCGGGTCAATGTGTATGCCTGCTTCGTCGATAATGTGACCTAAAAACTTAATAGTTTTCATAAAGAATTGACATTTGCAAAGGTTGAGGCTTAGTCCTGATTCGCGTAGACGTTCCAACGTTGCCTTGACAGGTTCCTTGTGCACTTGTTCATTTTCACTATGAATAAGGATATCGTCCATATGACATATAATACCATCTATGCCCTCCAACATTTCAGTCATTGACCTTTGAAAAATTTCAGGGGCTGAGGTGATCCTAAGTGGCAACCTATTAAAGCAAAACCTCCCAACTGGAGTTAGAAAGGTAGTTAGCTCCTTAGTGGAGTCATCTAGTGAGATTTGCCAAAAACCACTATTGGCGTCTAGTTTTATGAATATCTTACTCTTTGATAGCTTAGCAAGGCTAGAATCCACAGTGCTCATTGGGTGGATTTTCCTCAAAACTGACTTGTTTAACTGACCTGTATACAAACATACAGGTTTAGAACCTTCCTTAAGTGTAATTTTGTGTTTAACTCCCTTAAGTTTACCTAAGCCTTCAAACATACCTTTAAACTCTTTGTAAACCTCATTGCCATGTACTTCATAATGTGCTTCATAGACTCTGGCAATTAACCCCAGTGACAAACATACTTGTCTACTTAATAAAGGCCATTTTTGGTTCTTTATAACATAGATAATATCGCTGACTGATCTCTTTTTATAACGCATGGTGACGTTACATGACCCGAGTACCTCTAATGGTATTCCCCAGTACCCTTTAAGCATTGTGAAACCTTGTTCAACTTTAAATGCTTAAAGACCGTATGACAAGCTAATAAATTATGCTTTTACTTACAAAACACCTGTGTTGTACTGATTACATAATAGGTATTTTTCGTTTTGACTACGCGGCCAGTCTAGAACGAACTAATAGAGCGTAACAGACATCTGCGCATGCTCACAAACCTTACTGGCTAAATTGGCGGCTTCCGCGACAACCCCAATTTCTGAATTTGGCGTAGTGGCGACTACCCTAATACTGACCAATCAGATCACCGGATTGTTTAGTAAACTGCTGGTAACTTTTTTTGTTGGGGGTTGCAATTTTCATCGCATCCGCGATCGAGCATTATTCGTTTATAATGAATTAATTATTAAAACAAGTGAGTAATTAAATGTTTTATATAAAGGCCTATTTATACATATGCAATAAATGAGGAATGAATAGCCACAACATAAATTTAGGTAAATCAGGGGATAGTGAAAAAAGAGCCTTAGGCCTAGGCTAGCCTAGCCTTGTCAGGGTGGATTTCGGGTAGGAGAAAACACATTATCTGGTGCCGCTAGCTAGGGCATCCGCCCTTGATATCGTGGATCAAGCCTTGCTATATAAATTAAAATACCTGTTTAAAATTGTTATTTATTTCTACATCATCGTTGCATTTGGCAAATTGCCTGAGCAGGCTTGACACCCCTCTTCTCCCGGTAACGACTCTTTTGACACCTAGGGCCTAGGCTAGGCTGGCCTAGCCTAGCCTAGGTAGGTCTAGATCCTAGCCAACAGCGAAACATCACTCAGTGTTTACTGGAAACTTTCAAATATAAAACAAGGGAACATTGTTCTATGGTAATAAAACCATGGTCGACTAACTCTCCTCCGTAGGCGTACGTGTGTGCTGCGTCGTCGTAGTCGCCTTAAAAAACGAAAACAGCTCTTGGTCTACTACGCGAACAGTGTCTTGGCGTTGCCGTCACGCTCCATTAGTTCGTAGTAGACTGGCCGCGTTGTCAAAACGAAAAATGCCTAATATATGCATTGATTTAACGGCACAAATATTCCTAAAATCGTAATTTTAAAGACTTTTACGAAGAGGTGACATAAAAATCCTAAAATATTGAAAGGTCAAGCATGTGACGTCATCATGCCCCTTAGTAACCTTTTGTTTATTGTCCAGTTTAGAAAGCCCGTCGACCACCAGATACATTGAGTGATTCCTAGCGATAAAATAATAACAGTAATGTCGAAAAATTGTGTTGTTGGGGGTTGCCCGAATTCCGATAAGAATGATGTTCATTTTCTTTTGTTTCCAAAAAATCCAAGAATTAGACGACAGTGGATTCGCTTCGTTCAGTTTACGAGGAAGAATTTCTTAAGTCCAAGTGCTCACGCAACAATTTGTAGTGTTCACTTTGATACAGAAAGTTACGACATAACATGTCAAATGAAACGAAAGCTGGGGCTTTCCTCCGTCCTAAGACTAAAGAAAAACGCTTTCCCAACAATAAAAAAAGAAAAGGAAACAACGGGAATGGAAATTCAAAGGACGTACGCCGTAAAACGCCAGAGAAAACAGGTAAGTCACCGTCGGTATTTACAGTCTTATGTTCCGTGTTGGTCCGGTCGCCGACCTTTTTGGCGTCATGTTTACTACTTACTGTACCTAGCAACATAAGCTAGCGTACTACACTACTACTAGGCCTAGGCTAGTATAGTGAGAAGTTTATGAAATTGTATCCCTAGTAACGTCGTATGTTTACGTAACATTTTACATTATATTCCTCAGTGATTCTTTTGCAGTTGATAAAAGGCATATGTATGTATTGGAACATACCTATAGCCTAAGTAATAGGCCTATACCAAAGCCACCACTATCTATTATACTACTACCACTACTACCACCTGTAGGCCTACCAATTTAATTGTTCCCTGGGCGGGTGGGTCCTACTTATCGAGAGTACTTAATAGCCTATAGGTAGTGAGATTAGAGGCTAACCTAAAAATATAGGCAGACCTATGTTATCATCATTAATATTAGATGCCATTATGCATGCTATGTATGTATTATATTTTATAATTAGGTCAATTCGTATTGTTTTTATTTTTTTATTTTTATTTTTTTTTCAATATTCTAGTATGTTGAAAACATATTAGAAGGTAGTAGGCAGAAAATGTGGGGAGGAAGGTGACAGCACATTGCCAGTACCAACGATTGAAAATGCATAATCTCATTTAGCCTTGTTTGTTAAAGAATATCAGCAAAGCAGAAACTTGCAGGTAGTAATATTACTTAATTTGTATGTACTCCTTTCTCAGTCTACCAACTCATACTTATTTATTATATTATTGTTGCTTAATATATAGGCTATTATTATTATTACATCTATGTACTAAGTTTGTAATTCAGATATTAAAGTACTGTATGATTTTTAAAAAAAAATCTACATGTATATTATACTATTATAGGATAATTCAAAAACATCCACTACTCTTTAAGTGCAGAAAAAAGGGACAACGTCTAAACGCTCAATGCGTGTGCAAGTTGGCTCAAAAATGTGTACCAAAGGTAAAATTCTTATTTTTTATTTTTATTTTCTGATATTGTTAAATGTAGCAGTTATACCTGCTGCATAATTAGTAATTATACCATAGAACTTTAATATCAATAAAATGCCCTTTTTAAAATAAAAATAAATGATAATTTTTAGAAATTCAATATAAACATTGTCTTTTGTTTACAGAAACTCAAACTGACCCCCAAATCACTGGAGTTGATTTGCCTTTGACAGAGGTACCACCAAGTGGTAACTCAATTTTTGAAGAACCAATCACTGCAATACCAGTAGGCACATCAACTCCCAATCAAAGCGAAGACGAGTCTTCACCTTGTGAGAGTGATCATCATGTTAGCATCTTTGATAGAACTTTTAATCCAGACAACACATATCTTTCATCATCATTAATGTAAGTTAACAAGGAATTACAAATAGTAGTTCTAGGAATTATTGTCATGTATTTACTGTATATTATTACAACAAGGTACAGTATACATAGCATTAAACTACAGCCTGCAGTATATTTTAAAATAATTTTATTTACAATCTATATACAGTATTTAAATTCAAATTAGAGTATTCAACACCATTTTAAGTTTTCTTCTTAATATTGGTTTTAAGGTCGGATAGTGATGACAGTGTCAGTGATTTGTCGAAGGGTCCAGTTGACCAAAGGAAGTTTATTGTGTTTGAGAACCAGCTCCTAAAATTATTCAGCAAATGTCCTTCCTGTCATTGCCATACCAAAAGAAAGGTTACACAAATAGTTGGAACATATGTGGTTAATTAAACAAGTGTGCAAGTTGTGTAACTATAGCAGAAAATGGAACAGCCAACCAAAAATCAAAGAAATAGCTGCTGGAAACCTCTTGTTATCAGCCTCTATCCTTTTCTCGGGATCCTGTGTCAGAAAGACGCTGAATGCTCTTTCGCATATTAATGTGTGCGTTATTACTGAAAGAACATTTTATCGACACCAACAACAGTATTTACAGCCAGCCACAATGCAGGTGTGGAAAAGGAAAAGGCAAAACATAATGGACGAAATAAGAACACTTGGGGCACCAGTTGTTCTAGGTGGTGATGCAAGAGCTGATAGCGTAGGCCATTGTGCAAAATATGGGTCATACACTCTCATGGATCTCAACAGAAACAAAGTGATTGACATACAACTTGTACAGGTAATGATATATCAACAGTCATATTATTTGATTATCATTCAGCTTTACTAGGCCTAGCCCTATGTTTTTTTTTTTGTTTTTTTTTTGTTACCAGAAAAATGTGGTAGGTGGCAGCTATCATATGGAACTAGAAGGACTTAAGTTGGGAGTGGCTGCAATTGGAATGGAGCAACTAAAAATCCAAGCTCTTGTGACTGACAGGCATGCACAGGTTGCCAAATGGATCAGAGAGAACCTAAAAGACATTCAACATTATTATGATGTGATGTTGCTAAAAGTAAAGCATCTCTACTTGTTTGCTCTAATTACATTTATAATTTGGCCTATGGCTATTTAATAATTATAGGCATGGCCAGGCCCTAGGCTGCCCTTACAGACAGGTAATAAATATTGTCATTTATAGGCTTTTGTGGGGTTGTTTCTATCTCAGTTAATATGCAATTGTTCTGTAGTTAGGTATAGGCATATGGCTACATATAAACAAAAATAAGGTCTAGGCCTAGCCTATGTTAGCTAGATAAAAAAAAGGTGTGACTGCTTACCTTTTGAGGCCTGGTGCTGTATTCATCTATCCTACTATACTAAGCTAGCCTCTTTTTTTTTTTGCCTACACTTGTAGCTATCCTAGGCCAGGTTAATTATCAAAAGTATAAGCATCCTTCAATTGTTAAACAGTATTAAGCATACTTCTTTCAAATTCAATATCAAACACATCAATGAATCCTTCGATGTAAAAATAAATCCAAAGCTTCCTTTCATAAATGAAACTGTATGTAAAGTTTTGTACTAAACTGTCATGCATGCTGTACCATGTCTCTGCACTGAATGAACTTGAACTGTTGCACGCTGTGTATTATTCGCGCGCTTTAACAATTATAACATTGTTACAATTTATTGTTGTGTTCCTCCCCTGTGTATGTAGTAAACAAATATTCAGGGATCAACTATTGAAGTAAACTTCCTCAATTTCTTTTATTGCAAAAAAACAAACCATACAGTAAAATAGTAACTATTTTATGCGTTAATATGATTAAAATAAATTATTTTCAATTTGTTTTTCATATTTTTTATACTGTTCCTACAGGCCTATAATTTTTTAGAAAAGTTTATCATCATCTTCTTTATTCCACTCCAATTAGTATTTTACAATTATTTTTATTCATTTAACCCTCCTATATTAGTATAAAATAAGTGGACCAAATATAAAATAATAAAATTAACATTTATCATTCTTTTAAACTATTTGTTCAGGCCTTGGAAAAAGAGTAAGAGCCATCGGGAAAGAAAAGGATTGTGAAGTGGTGCAGGAGTGGGCAAGAAGTATTAACAACCATGTTTATTGGGTAGCTTCGTCCACACCTAGTGGAGATCCAAATGAAATGCTTGGGAAGTTCATGAGCTTAAAGAATCATATTTAGAACATTCATACTGGGCATTCAGTGCACTTCCCAAATTGCCTTCATCCTCCCATACAGGAAAGAAATAGGAAGAAATGGTAAAACCAGGTATAAAATATTTATTTAAAAAAGTCTTCATTTTTTAAAATTACAGTACTGTACATGCTTACCGTAGTCGGAATTTTATTTTTATATCACATTTTATTACAGTATTATCAACATCATATAACATCACGAAAAATAAATGTAAAGATAAGATTTTAGTAATGGTTTTTACAGTTTAAATGTTATATTAATTTTTTATTTTTTTATTTTGTCATATGACAGGGTCAAATGCATGCGAAAAATTGTCCGATCTTCTAGAAAAACGTCACTTTCTAAAGGACATACAAAAGCTTAGTCCACATCGGCAGACATCGGGTGTAGAGGCATTCCATGGGACTATAATTCACTTTGCTCCCAAAATGCTGGTGTATTCCTACAATGGCATGTTTACCAGGTAAGAGTTAGGCTTTATCTACACTATCAAACTGTATGTGCAAGAAAAATGTGATATGACATCAAGACAAATTTGTTGCATAAAATATTATACTGTCGACAGAGTTAAACATACACTTTGCAATCATCAACCTTGCATACCAATTGCTATACGGACAACTTGTCAAACTTATGTCATTTAATTTTTAGGGTGATAATAGCAGCGTTGCATTATAATGAAAATGCAGGCAGAATTGCTTTAAAAGATGGAAAAGGAAATGACAGATACTCCGTAGTTTATCCAAGATCTAAAAGTGGTGGATATACATTGCAAAAAGTGTTGACTGAGGCTACTTATGGTAAGCTTAACTTGAAAATGTTTAGTTGCTTATGAAAATGTAGTTAAGTCATGTGATCTTTCAATACAATTTAAACTCCAAAACATTTGTTTACAGATTATGTTGATGAACTAATAGCAGAGGCAATCCAGTTGTGTAGCAGTGGGAAGAAAGACCTACAACTCTCCATTCCACAACTCAGGTCTCCACCACCACCTGTTTGTTCAGCCTTTAGCAGACCAGAGAAAGATGTAGCAATAGCTAAACATCTGTCAAGATTTACCAGTCTCACATAAACAAGACACTCAAACCAAAAGGCTCTTTTCAGAGCCATTATTTAACAAAAGAGAAGCAATTATATAGTCCGTGTTTGTTTTGGTTTTTTTTCATTTAATTTATTCACACATATACACATACATATTACTGTACAAAGAAAATACTAAATAGTAAAAAGAAATAAGAATAATAATATGTTACAGAATAAGTGTGTGGAAAGAGGCCAAAATAAGTTTAGAATCAAATTTTAAGCCATGAATACCAGTTAAAATAATATTATATTATTAAATAAAATTTAATAATAAATAAATAATAAAAGTTGAATTAGGGCAGTGTGCCAATTATTCATTAATTTTACCAAAATGTCAAGTTTACAAACAAGCACATAGCATACCCACTACAGTAATTATAATGAACTACAGGAGTTTTGTTCTGTTAGGCTGATGGGAAAGATTACCGATAAGAAGCAAATTAAGTTTAATTTTAGAGACTACCATTTTATACCATTTGAAGATGATCCTCAAAATGAATTTAGAGAAGCAGGAGCAGCTACAAATACGGACGAAGACATTGCGCAGACCGTCATATGCTTTGAATACCAAGTAGTAAGAAATTAAGTTTATTTACCCGCTGCTCGGTTATATTCATCAGTGGAAATTTACACTATAAAATTTATAATTATATTTCTTCTAACTTTCCTAATTTGAATCCTGTGTAACCCTCTTCTTCTGAGTTTGGAAATGCCTTGCGTATCTTAAGCACAGCACAGGCTGGTAGAGTAACTCTGTTGAGTCTGCCTAAATAGCCATAGCAGAAGCGGACCAGATTTCTGTATGCAATGTGTCTATATTGCCTGTGAAAGTAAATATCAGATATAAATACAGTAATAATATCATACATTTACATATTATACCAATAACTTTTCCCCAATCATCCTACCTTTCAGTATGCAACAGCATAAAATTTTCCTCAAAACTTGTTTTAATACACGTAAGACCAAATATAATTAATTGTTTGTTTCACGCGACACAATTAGAAATTATTTTTTGGTGTGGGTATTTGCTACTAAAAGAAGTAAAATGAATCTTTGTAATGTATTTCTACCATAATATGTTCACACCCCTTCTTAGGATTGACATCATTCTTTCAGATACTAATTTTTCTTATTGTCCATGGAAAAATTATAAATGTCTAACCCTAGGCCTACACCTACCCCAGTCTGTATAGGCATAGGCCTACAGTATGCCTACTTAATAGTTTAATAAAAGCTCCCCATGGCAATTTCTAAAAAAAAAAAAAAAAAAAAAAAACGTGCCTTGGCCTAGCCTAGGCTAGGCCTACTCTATTATTATTATTATTATTATTATTATTATTATTATTATTATTATTAATTAGGTAGGCCTATGCCTAGCCTAGGCCAAACCTCCCTAAATACGTGTACACTAGGATGGGTGATAAAGGTCAAAACAAAAAAAAATTAGGCTTATGTTAAAATAAACATGCATTATCGTAAAGGTAGAAATCAAGTTATGCCTATGGGGCCTACGCCGAGATGTAGTTCATCAAGAGAGAGGGAACGCCTCCCCTACTAAAAACAGGGGGTGGACCTAGGATAGGCACTTCGCGCCAATTTCTTACCACTCGGTATTAAAAAGCCTACGAATGCCTACGCCAATGTCTTCGTCTGTATTTGTAGCTTCTTCTTCTCTATATTCTGGTTCAAATAAATAAGCGTTTGTACCAACGTTATCCTCTTCGTTTTCATTTACATCCTTCGAACGACGACGAAGACCAGTCTAAATTTAAACTTAATTCACTATCTGAATTTCTCTCCGCCATCGCGTTGATTGCATTCGTTGTAATGAGAGCAAGAAGTTTGTGAATGGCAACGTCTTGTGGCGTGATGACGTATTAACTTGACCTTTGCGATTTTTAAGATTTGGCAAAATCGAAAAATTGAGCATTTTTTAAAGTTGTTTTTAATGAGCAAGATAGTTCATTTAAGGTCTTCAAGTGCGATTTATTAATCATTAGTATGTACTTCATCATTTTCTTATGATATAAATAATTATAGTTCAGCTTGTCATACGGTCTTTAACCAAAGCATGAGTGTTTTCTACAACACTAACCATAGCACCTGTGTCTATTTTTAAAAGCGACATTGGTATTGTTTACCTTAATGTTGACGGTCCAGTCATCCTGCTCAACATTTAACACATTTATTTCACCCAGAAAATCGTCATCTGTGTCATTACCATAATTATTTACTTCCGCAACTTTAGGGTGTCTAACATAACCTGCAGTGGTGCTACGACACACATTCATGAAATGCCCTGTTTTCTTACATTTATTACATTTTGCTCCACTTGCAGGACATTCACTTTTTGGGTGGTTCACATGACCACACCATTTGCAATTGGTTTGAGTACCCTTTTTACCTGTGGACTGGGATTTACTACCATAATTTTTTCCCTGAGTGTTCTTATGAGTGTTCTTACCCTTAAATTTACTCTTAACAAAGTCCACTGGCATTGACTTCTCATTGCAAACCATCCTTTTCAGCTCAGCTGTAATCTCGTTACCTCAGCACTGCGGCCCATTGTAAGCGTTTGGGTTAGCGTGAGCTTTGCTTTCCTAAGCAGTCGAGATTTTAAACTGTGATCACTAACCCCAATGACAATTTTATCGCGAATGAGATCGTCTTTTAGCGCACCAAAATCACATGAATCACTTAAGCGTTTCAGCTCAGTTACGAACTTGTCAAAGGTTTCACCTTCCCTTTGAACCCGTGAGTTAAATATGTATCGTTCATAAATTACATTGGTTGCAGGCTCAAAATAAGCTCCAAGCTTTTCAATAATGGTGTCTGTTGTAAGACCTTCTTTAGGCAGTTTGAGTGTCATATAAATTTTATGGCATTCTCTTCCCATGACCGAGAGTAATGTAGCTACCCTCACTTTGGCCTCTTTGGCCGCTAGTCCCGTTGCAATTTCGTAATTGACCCATTGGGATTTAAAAAATCTCCAATTCTCTCTAACGTCGCCGTTAGTGTCCAGAGGAAGTGAAACTGGGAAATGTATTGTTGATGACGCCGACCCCGACGCAACCGCCATAATGTATATCAGTACAATACTCACAAGTAGACTAAACGTCGAGCGACCACTCGTCACTTCGACTCCGTGAGGACGATACCTGTTGGCCCTGCTATGTGGCCTGCTGCGAAATGGTTAGGGCTAGGCTAAGCCTATACTTACGCCTCGTGACTGTGTTCTACGGCTGAACCGTTAGCCGGTCTAACATTCAATCGCCAAGCACACCGCTGGCACCATGTTGTATTTGTAGGTTCGTGTGTGGACAATAAATAAACAATCGACGACTGAATAGTGTCTCCAAGATGCTTTAATGTAAGATGGCTACCTAGGCTAGCAGCAGAGAGCGATCGTAAACCATGTGTGTCTATTATAAAGGGCGCAGTTACCCTAGACATTATCATCAGAGGGTGGATATTCCTACACAGTGCAGGGGATAGTTGATGCTCTTTTTCCCAGCTGCAGCGATTCAACTATATGGAAATATTTGGAGGAGTCCACAACAGCCGTGAATTATAACCCTCGGGAGGATTTTAATGTAGGAACTGAAGTGGAGGTAGAAACATCGCATGAAATCGCAGTTCCAAAGATTCTACAACTACTTGCAGCCAATTTTCAGTCACCTGAAAATTTTATCAATGACTTGCTCACATATTCTCATGAAGAAATAATGGCCATTGAAAAAGTAACTCAGGGACAATCAGAGAATGTTGAATGGGAAAAATATAGAACTGGACGTATTACTGCTACCAATCTGTGGTTACTAGAAATAAGACTCTCCATAGTCCCATTTAAGTAAAGATCCCATCCCAATTTTTTTTTTTTAAATATGGGATATACCCCCATTGACCCAAACCTACCAAATCTTAAATATGGGAGGATTACTGAACCAATAGCACGATCATTGTATGAAAAAATGTTGAAAGGAAAAGGACATGTGAATATTGAAGTCTCAGAATGTGGGTTGTTTGTACATCCAAAAAAGATATTTATGGAGGCTTCCCCAGATGCATTAGTAGAATGTTCCTGTTGTGGAAAGGGACTACTGGAAATAAAGTCTCCACGTACAATAGCACTTGATCAACCCATGGAAGAAAACATGTAGGCATTGTATGTAACTACAAATGAAAAACTTGAACTTAAACCAAATCATCAATACTATTATCAAATTCAAGCACAAATGGGCATAACTAAATGAAACTGGTGCGATATTTTATATATACCAAGGGGGGATACTTTTTTGCAGCGTATTGAATACAACCATGAGGTGTGGACTAGGGCAATGTCTTAAGCTGAACAATTATTTTTGAGTTCATTGCCCCAGAGTTAATTTACAATGCAATAAAGAAATCTGCAATTAGCCATGAAATATAATTATTTTATTAGTTTAACCACTAGTTATTTCAAAATTATTTACTGTATGCTGCCAACTGAATATAAATTCTAAATATGTACATATTTATTTAAAGTAAATAATAACAGGAAACATTTTGACCAGTGTAGTAATTGTAATAAAAAAGAGAAAATTGACAATATTCGCTCCACAATTTTTATTTATTTGAAGAGAAGCTTTCCTTTATTTTATGTACACATTCCTAATTACAATTCAGTTACTTTCATTTAAAAAATTAGATCTGTTTGCAAATTGCATAGAGCAGCACACACAGTTATTATGTTATGGCATCAGATACTGGGATGAGAGTAATTGGTAATGTAGAGTTCAAGATTTGGAAATCCTTCAATCGGTTTATTGCTCTCTCTACATGGATCCTTAAGTTAGCAATCATCTTTGTCTTTTTAACTTTAACTAAATGGTGGAAGGCAATCGCAACATCCACTTCCATTTTTATTTCCATGTTTAGTCAAGGTAATTCAACAAAAGGACGCACATCTCCGCTCTCGAACATAGCGCGTGTGTACAGTCCTTTGATCTTTACTGTGGCATCGACAATCCGATACTAGTTGCGAGTACAGCCGTCAATTATTAGTC